CTCTGTTACAAAACTGGCTGGTTGTCTGATAAAGCTGGTGGGGGTTTCCAGATGAAAACAACTATGTCAGCAGTTTCCTCAGTTACAACAATGCCAAACGTGCAGGGAACAATTCACAAGACAGAGCCAGGAGTGAAACAAAGCTCTGGAATTTGGAGGCCTGAACTGCTGCTGCTATGGAGGCGGGAGGTGGATGGAGAGGCAGCAGAAGGGCATCCCTGTCCCACCAGACCCCAGCAATACATCACTGCTCCACTGCAGCTGGAAGCAGTGCTGGCCACGCTCCATGGGATGGAGCTCAGCACCAGGGCTGCACGCCGGCCCCAAACGTGACCCTGGTGCTTCTTGACGTGACAGAACAACAGCATCACACTGTGGGCTCCATGCCCGGCTGCTGACATGGACACACACTTCAGAGTCCAAGCTTTCCCTTTGGAAAAGGGCCAAACACTGTAACGCAGAACATATCCAAATGAAAACCATGTAAGAACTCCCTTGGATATGTTTGGTGACAACTGAGCAGTGGTATTTTGCAACAGTATCTGACCTGCAAATCCAGCCTCCTCCATTCTCTGACAACAGCTCACCGAGTCAGCAACAGAAACACAGAGGAATCCCAAAGTGACATCAACCTGCAGCTCTAGAAAAGCCCACGCACATGTCCAGTTCTATCTTCCAGCAGCAATATCTGAACATTGAACAGCATCGGGCCGTACCACAAGAAACATCCCATGGAGCAGCCTGGAACACCTATGGCATACAAAGAAGTGCTGCAGTGCCACATGTGTTCCCACAGCCACAGCAAGAGGAAGGGCTGAGTGCTCAGACAGGAGCTGCCAACACTGAGCTGCACCTCACAGACTGCACTGCTTCCAGGTCCACCTGCAGGCTTCCTGCTCATTAACATGGGCTCACACACCTCTGCCATGGGCAGAGAGGGAAATAAAACAACTCCTGGCTACTGCACTCACTTAAAGGGCTGTGGCTAAACAAAGGCCAGTATCACGTTGTCACTGAACTACAGAGCTGGATATTTTAACTGGACATAGGAGCAGATGCCAGAAGGCTGCCAGCCCACGTGGAGAAACACACGGCATAACCACAGATGGATGCTACTTAGAGACATCCTCTCACTGTGCTCACACTGCACAGATGAGGTGCAGCTCCTTTGCCTCGGTGCCCTCCCAGCTGCACAGAGCACTCACATCACTTCAGCATCAGCATGGCCTAGGGAAAGATGCAGTCAGCTAACGCCTGGCTCTCCCAGCAGCAGCATTTCACCTTCCATTACCTCACATCAGCTCCTCTTGCTGAGGCGTTGTTTACATAGCTACTGATGTCACTGCAGAAACAGATCCTCATCAATCCTTTTAATCCCCGCAGATCCCTTTAAATGTTCCTACATAGGGAGAGCAAACAGTGCTGACCTGGTCCACAGGTGACACACCAAGCCACCTGCTTCCCAAACCAGCCCAGACCTCCACCCAGCTCAGCTTTCCCAGTGCAGACTCACAGTGCCATCACAGCAATGTCACGACAGAACGGCACCAGCAGAGCCATCAGGTGCACTTGGGGAGCACTGCTCAGCACCAAACCTCAATTCACTCTGTGCAACAAGAGTGACTTTCTTACCATGACAAGAATAAGGTGAGAACTGCCAAGCAAATAAAACCAGAGATGCGAAAGGAACTGGAAGGGAGGTTGTGGAAATGGAGGGGACAGATGGGGATGTGGGCCAACAGCTTTCAGGACAGATCCATGTGAGTGCCAACACAGCCGAGGAGATTAATTGCACAGTGTCATCTCTAAGCTCTACTCAAATTTAGATGCATGGTTTAAAGCTATGCATATGTTCATTATGTCCGTGCAAATTAATAAGAACAGTATTCGCACATTAACACGGCAGCATAACCTGCTTGAAAAAAAAAAACACCAAGGATCTTGATGATCTATTTATTTGCAATTACTGTTACTCAAATACAGGTGCTGAGCTTAGCACAAAGAAAATCAAGTGCTGGATTAACTGCTGCACAGCAGACAGAGGGAGATTGCAAGCGAGGGCTTCACCGGTACAAAACACAGACCTTCAGCATCCCTCCTGATCACATCAGAGTATTTAAGAGATGGAATCAGACAAATGGAAAAGATTTCCCTTCCCTGAAGCCCTGAAGACGTAGGCTGGAGACAGCTATCCATTCTGCACGCACCTTTAACATTCATCTTTCTAATCCTTGCTGGGTGAGTCTCATTGACTTAAATTCTCTTCACCTCTTCCAAATTGCATGTAATTTATACCTTTAGTTACACACACATCTCCCTATATATAACCTCCTAGCCAGAAGATGTAAGATTTTCTTCTGCAATATGTACTATAATTCTTTTAGAATATATATTACGCACTGAAGTGTGAATTCAGAAGCTTGCTCCTGTTAGGAAGATATATTTTAAATTAAAAGTATTACAAAATCTTAAACAGGTCCATTATGGTCTCATCCTTGCTCGCACCCCTCCAGCACTGCACTGACCAAGCACATGCTTGCACTGCTCCTGCAGACCAAAACAAGAGACAGGTGCCAGTGTTAAAGCACAAGGAGCAATGGGACAAACAGTACAGCTCCTGGGCTGCTTCCTACTGAAATAAGGTAACACCAAGGTAGAAAATGCAGAAAGAAAATGCAGACCTCTAATTCATCCATATGAGAGCTAAGTATCTCAGAGAGAGAATCACACACATGGAAAGGGTGCACAGCCACCAGCATGGGCAGCTACACTCCACACACAGGGCTCCAGCCATGTCTGTACATGGAGTTTTCTCTTCTGAATGGATTCTTGTGTGGGGACACAATAAATGCTATCTGCTCCCTCCTTCCACAACTCTCCTGCAAAGGTGCAAGCTGTGCTTCCTGCTGCCCTGCAGAGAAACCTCCAGCCAAGTGCTGCTGCATCAGTGGTACACAGAGCACTGCAGCTCCTGAACAAAGCACTAATTCTCCTCCAATCTGCTACAGAATGAAATTGAGAGCACTGTGATTTTCCATCTTAATTTTACGCCAAGTCTTTCCGCGATGAAAGCCAGCATATCGCATTGTACTGCTGGGCCCACACAACAGCTGTTCCTAACATACTTGTATTTTTCATCCTCTGACACTGAAAATAAGATTGCTCCAAAGCTGATCCTTAGGCAGGCTCCCTATTGCTACTGCTCAAGCAACAGATAGCACTCAGCAACAAGCCCTGACGGAGAGGAAAAGACCATTTCCAATTGTTCCAAAGACGTCAGCGGAGCATTGCAGTAGGTAAGCTGTTCTGACAAACATCAGTTTGTGGTTTGCTTCCATGTAGAATGACCAACTTCTGCACCCAAGAATGGGCAGCCCTATTTCAGCACCCATGTGTACAAGAAGCACTTGAGAGCATTTCCTGCAACCATACCTGGATGGAGCATTTCAACCACTTACATTACTCGCACAATGACATTTTAGTACTTGAGATATGCAGCACCTCATAGAAAAATCAGACAAGCTTTTACCTCTGTAGTTTCCATGGATTTTATTTGGAATTCATCTGATTTACTCCAGCAGCAGTACTGTATCACAGCAATCACCTGACAAAGAGCAATATAAAACTAGCAGAGCCCCTAAGCCAGCACTCTGAACAGTACAGTCCAAGATAATATTCCTCGTGGTGAAACAAACAACTGCAATTAACTACTAAAACACAGCACAGATGAACACAGACTTTTTTTGCTCAAATAACAAGCAATACAACCAGGTGAATAATCTCTGCAATTTTACTTTCAGGAAGGAGTTAGCTGGCAGCAGCCACAAGTTACATCTTAAAACCTTACATGAGACTGAAAACCTCACGTGAACTTTGCAGCAACTGCATGGCACGTCCAAAGACATCCAGAGCATAATGCAAGCTTCTCACTGCTGTCCTCACACCCAGACCTGACACCAGTGGTTTTGCTCAGTATGCACGTTGCTGTGCACAAGCATTAGCTAGCTATCGGGAGGGCAGGGAAAGCTAATGAGATAATGGGTGTGAGATCTTAACTCACCTGATTTACTCTTCAAGGAGAAGAGATGAGGATTTCAACAAACAAAATGGATCTGCAGAACAACTTAGAAATGGGGGAAAAACGTCACCTCATCCAACCTCTAGCTCGGATAATGTCTAGTTTAAAGTTCAGACCAATGTGCACAGTGCACAGTCCAATTTAAAATTCTTGGACACAGTTAATGGAGTAGAAAGTGAAAAAGGTGGCTCATTCTTAAAGGAAAGCTCACATCCATCTCAACAAATGCGTCCAGGTCTGGAGCCCCCAGTACAAGAAAGACAGGGAGCTGTTGGAGAGGGTCCAGAGGAGGGCCACGAAGATGATCAGGGGACTGGAGCACCTCCTCTATGAGGACAGGCTGAAAGACCTGGGCTTGTTCAGCCTGGAGAAAAGAAGGCTGCGGGGTGACCTCATTGCAGCCTTCAGTACCTAAAGGGAGCCTACAAAGAGGAGGGGAATCAACTCTTTGAAAGGGTGAGTGACAGCAGGACAAGGGGAAATGGTTTTAAGCTGAGGGAAGGGAGATTTAGGTTGGACGTCAGGGGGAAGTTCTTTACAGAGAGAGTGGTGAGGTGCTGGAACAGCTGCCCAGAGAGGTTGTGGATGCCCCGTCCCTGGAGGTGTTCAAAGCCAGATTGGATGGGGCCCTGGGCAGCCTGGTCTAGCATTAGGTGGGATGGTTGGTGGCCCTGCGTGTGGCAGGGGGGTTGGAGATTCATGATCCTTGAGGTCCCTTCCAACCCTGGCAATTCTGTGATTCTGTGAAATGGGATATTACAACACGTATCTGGAAAGCTTTGCACGTGCACCCATAATAACGTGGCAACCTGCCCCCATACAACCACAGCCTGGAGTAGGAAGAGAGCAGAGCACAGCGTGTGCTGCAGCCAGCTAAGTGCACAAACAGCTGCAAGGCAAACGTAACACGGGAACTTCTTACCTCCAGGCCTGTACACAACGTCATCCTCCGTGATGAAAGACGTGATTTCACCGTTGTCTGTTCTCTCGTATCGGGATTTCTTCTTGGGTGGTTTCTTTTTGCTTTTCTTTGTGGACTCCTCCGTGGTGGCACTGTTGTTGTCATTGTCCTCATCTTCGCTGTGGTCACTCTCTGCATAATTCTTGGCACCTCCTTCCAACGTGCAGCTCCGCCGAGGACGCGAGTTCTCGCTCTCCCTCACCTTATCTCTCTTGTCTCGCTCCTTGTCCCGGTCTCTATCCCTGTCCTTCTCTTTGTCTTTGTCTTTTTCTTTGTCCGCTGTCATGATTCGCCACGTGCCTTCTTCTGTCCTCTCACGGCTGGGCCTCCGTGAAAGGTAGACAGTGAGCCTGGGCTTCAGTCTTCTGAATTTCTCACTCAAATCCAGGAAAAATTCAACCACTCCAACAACCCCAGCGTTTTAAAAAGGTTCTTGAAGGAGGAAGGGGAGGAAAAAGGGGAAAAAGCCCGTGTTAATATTCAGCATTCTTTCGATTTCTGAAAATACCCATTAAAACAAGAGAAACCCACACCCCAAAGTTACTTAGTACAGAAAATACAACGCTGCAAATACAGGACAGCCCCTGTGGAAATGACAGCTTCACCCACCTTCCCAAAAGCAGAGAGAGTGGTTTTACAACCGAGCTGTAACCCAGAGCGTACAAGAATGAACGAACTGAAAATAAAACAGTACTTAGAAAATTTGCTTCTCCACATATCATGCTTGCTTTACCACTACCAGAAGACAGGGAGGTGGATTTTATAAGCCACCAGCTTCACACACTCAGTTTCCTGCTGAGGAATAGAACAGGAAGAGATAATCCTATGCTTTTACCTCCTTGATCATTTAATCAATACTCTTAAAATCAACTGCATTATTTTTTCCTTCGGTGGAGTAAGCAAGCCTGGATTAGCTGTTGCAAGAGAATTGGCAAACCTTGTCCTGTAGGCCAGGACCCCCTAAGCACAGCCAAGGGCACAGAGGGGCTGCCCCCACCCAGCTCCCCCCACTGCCATCCCCAGCAGCCAAACTGCAGGCCAAACAGCACTGGCCCCGTGCAGCCACGTCCCATTATTCTTTTCACTCAAAATGGAGTTTCCTTCAAACGCCCTCTCTGTTGCTCAGATCAAAACGACCCTGCCTGCATTCTGCACGCTACACCTCGCAGCAGCAGCCAGCAGCACTTTCTGTCTCCAGAGAGCCTTCTAGCAGCTAAGATATCTATCTTCCCATGGTCATCAATCCAGGGTAAGAGCTGGGAAACCCATCATTTTGCTTTGCAGAGAACAAAAAAGAAAAAAACACAAACCAAGAACAAGCAGAGAAGTACTCAAAACACTTCACACCTCTTCAGAAAGGATACCTGATACTCTCTACAAGAGAATGCCACTGCAGCAAGTCACATAACCCGCATCTTGCAATTATGGTTTGTCCTCCTGCAGCCTCTATTACTCCTCCCAGCCTCTATTATTCAAGCTGCTATCCTAAAACACAGTCCAGTCCCATCGTACACTGCAGATTCTGTACCATTCATAAAAACAGAGCAGCTGTAACTCGAACTTGTGTACTAATTGTGTACCAACCCCATTTCACCAGCACCCAACACACAACTCCCCAGGATGCTGCACTACTACCAGCAATGACAGTGCTGAGCAGAAGGCTGCAGCACCTCCAGCACAAAACATGGGACTTAACGGGGCTGAATGCCTGCATGTTAAGTGCCTGGAAGCACACTGAGGAAAGTAAAGGACTATTTTGGTTTTTAAGGAGGCTGTGAAGCTGTGTATTTGAAGCCTACGACGTATTCCTGGCCCTGCCGACTATTGCTTCCAGCAATGGAAACAGCCACAGAGACAAATTGCTGTTACTGATATAGTTCAGGCTGGAGCTTGAATCTCTCGGGCATTTCCTGAATGAACCAATCATCCAGGTAAGAAACGATTCTATTTGCTTTCCTCCTCACAGCAGCTGCCGTCGTTCTGCTAACACACAGGGGAACCCAGTGCAGCTCCAGGAGAGACGGCCACAATGAACCTGTCAATTGCCAGGGAAGTTGCAGGGATAGTGATAGCAACAGTCCGTAGAGACTCAATAAGAAATGTCTTCCATTTCTAGAGGCTAGGAAACTCCTCAATAGCAAGCTTGAGGATTTGTCGCTTTCCCTCCCCCCAACCCCTTACTGTTGTTACAACATAATTAAGAGAGCAAATAATCATTTATTTGGAATGAAAACAAATTACCTCCCCGGGGCTATCTAAAATTCCAAGCAGTGGTGTCTCAAGCCATGTACAGGAGATCTCTGTTGGAGCCTAGAAACTGCAGGATACACAGGATGCCCCACAGGTTTTAATCAGTGGCCTCCAGGGATGGGGAAAAGCCAGCTGTGTGGCGCTGCAGCTCACAAGGACTCAGCTTCTGGGTTAGGAACAACACTGAATCCTAACAAAGAAGTTCTCCTTTCCTCCCTTCCTGCTGCTTCTCATCGTGCCTGTTATACTCCTCATCCTCATCATATATGACTACAACCTCCAGTTATTAAAACTAGAATCCTGTTTACAGATTGATTTGGGAGAAAATAAAACAACAGAAGGAAGAGAAGAGTCACAGTGCCAGTTTTGTCTTGTTCTCAGTGACACCAAGAATGAGGGAGAAATAAACCCAGAGCTGATGGTAACTGACAGATCATTCATCCGTATTAATTCAGCTGCATCTTGAAACATCCTGAGGTCTCTCTCAGATTCTTGAAATCTCAAGGAACCAGGAGGAGTTGTGCAAAGAATCTGAACGAGCAGCCACCACTGCACTGCAAGCTGCTCCTGCTCGTCTTGGTTGCAAAAGCAGATTTCAGCTCTACGGAGTGGAGCATTAGGATGCCAGAGGAGCAAAGAAAAGCTTTTCAGCTATCACTAATGAAGCCATTATTACCACAGAAAATATTCAATAATCTTTCATCCAAGCCATGACCCAAACATGTTTTGAAGATTCCTGGATATATTTTGCCCCCTCCAGTGAAATACAGCCCATATACACCCACAAATAACTGCACAGCATTACTGCCAGAGAAGCTCTGAGAAACGAGGCCAGCTCTGGGCACTGAGCTGCTGACCTGGCCCAACCACAGGCAGCTCCGTGGTTATTCCATGTCTGCACCTGGAAACCATTACCAGGGCAAAGCACTGCAGCTCAGTGCACGTTAACACCAGCCGAGAGGTTTAAATACCTGAAGAGTCGGGTTTTAAAGATAATGTGAAAACAAATCCAACAGAAATGCCATGAGGCCAGAACAGGGAGGCAACCAACCAGACACAGCAACCAAAAACATGAGAAGAGCTCCTTAAGCACGCCAGGCAGATAAATCTTTTGACAAGACTTGCTTGGTGACGTGTTAGCAGCCTTCATAAACACAACAGGACCATTCTTCTCTGAGCTCTCAGTCTCGTCTTGCAAGATAGAAAGGCACTGTATTCCACAAATATCAGATTAAAGGAAGCATGCTCTGCAAATGCCAGAATTTCAGGTCTTTCCAAGGAGTTTTTCCTATTCTTACATCCAGGAAGAATTCTGGAGGTTTATATACTTGTTTTTAGTGCAAAGGACTAAGCAACAAGAACTGACCCATGAAAATTCCCCCATACATTGGTAAGGTATGAAGAACTGCCTTAAGAAAACCTTCAAGATGCTTGGTGAGAAGGGAACATAACAGCACTGGGGATGGGAATCTCAGCTCCATCAGCCACAGCACAGCGCTGAGCTGCAAGCATCCAAACAGCTCCAGTGCTGCGTGTCAGACATGCACCCTCCTGCCTCAAACACACCCCAGGGCTGCCTGCACACGGCTCTGCCTCCCTAACATCCCACCCCTAGGCAGAGCTCATTAACAGCACCAAGGGCTGACCTCTCTGCTAAGGCATGCAGTTTAACCTTTCTGTTCCAGAAAAGGCTAAGAGGATCTGTTATCAGCTTTCCCCCACATTCTTCCCCTATCTTCTGTTTGCTGTTGAAAACGGGAGTTGCAGGCATTCAGGTGACCGAGTATTTTGGGAGCTCATTCCACTAATAATGTGGTCAGCAATGAGCTCGTTCTCTTCTTGCTTTTCTCTCCATCCCAAAACAACTGTAAGAGACTCACTTTAAGAAATACCTCTTAGCAGTGGCTTTCCCCATCTCCTTCACTTGCTCCGAGTTCACAGCACAAACACAGCTCTGGAACACCTGGCCCAGCAATGGTCATTACAAGTTCCATATTTACAGTTCAGAGCTCCTGTGAGCCATCTAAGCATGCACAGGGTGTTCATTCACCTGGAAATGCTCTCCACTCACCATCCCATCAGCACACAGCAGAACACAGGCCCTCCATTGCAGCTCACAGCTGAGATGCAGTCACAACCAGAGGAAAGGCAGAAACCCACCACGTACCTCATGGCAGACCACAGCCTTATGTTTTCCCCTCACTACCTGCAAGAAGACCTAAACTCAGCGAGGAGTGAGAACAAAACACAACAGCTCTCAGCACAGAGGCAGGACTGAAAGGCCAGGGATAAAAAGTAAGGTGCAATTATCAGCTATTACCTCCCCCCAGAACTGCTGGCCCATATTCACAGCAGTGACCTGAGATGAGAACACCCTTCTGGGCAGTTTTACACACTGGCTTCCATAAAAGTAACGCAATCCCAAATTAACCCTGGGAGAAATGAGACTTGTTTAAGAGCAGCTACGTACAAGTCAACAGTCTTAGAAAGTTTCTGTATAACCAACACTTCCCCAGATAAGGTAGCCAGAGTTGCAAGCTCCTCAGAACCCCTCAGGTGATTTCAGAGGATGCTCTAATGGCCTCTCTAGTTGTAATTAGTGGGAGGGAGCAAGCAAGGAGCAACAGAGAGTAAACAACACCAGGGATTACTTCCTTCTCTCCGAAGCCAGTCAGGCTCATGTAAATGATTACAGCAATATAGGTCTGAGTAACACAAAGCAACAGTCCCATAGCACCACTTACAAACAAAGTTAAGACTTGTTAAAGCGTTCCTATAGTGCAGTGTAGCTCCCTGCTGCAATGGGCTGTGGGGGAGGAAGGCCCACAGGGCTGCACAGAGCTGCTACTGCAGTCAGAGCTGTTATCTGGGGAGCATCACGTCACCTGGACTGAGACAACACCTGGTTGCTTAACAATGTTTAAAAAACAAAGTTGACAATTATGCTGTGACACACAGATTTATTTATGTATTAATACTATAGTTATATCAGTCACAACGACTTTGCTTGCCTTCCAACAACCACATCAAGCCAGCAGTGGGCCAGAGGACAGCTCAGCCAACCAAGCACAAATAACAAGAGACAGCAAGAGAGAGGCAGGAGGAAAGCTCAGGCCAGCAGCAGCCAACCTCTGTGCCAACCCATGCACCAACAGCTCTGTTACAGCCTCCCATACATCACA